TTTTTTTTTTTTTTTTTCATTTTTTCTCTAATATTTTCTAATATGTTATGTAACATAACATTATATAATCATAATTTAATAATAATAGTAATGAAACAAGTATAATAGAAAACTCAATATCCAGGTCAAAGATAAGGGGAAGGATATGAAAACGGCATATAAAGGACTAAAGTGGAAAGGTATATCTCTCATTATTCTTAAATATATAATTGTTATATGTAATATCAGATAATGATTTGTAAATCATTGTTTATATCGGCGCAGGTCGCTCTAATAGAAGCGAGACAAGTATGAGATTTCACCAGCCGCGATCAGCTCCCAGTTCACCCACGTTAGACAGAAGACCTATGGGGTTTGGTTCTCCACCTAAATCTCCAAACGGATTGTCAGCAACTACTAGCTATCGGAAAGAATTGCGTTTGCGAAATAGCAATTTTGCTGATACAAGGTACATCGATTGTTATTATTCGATTGTAACACACAGAAAATTTTCAAGAATAATATACAAATGAAATCTGTGTTGTATATTGCAGTAGAAAACAATACTCACCGTTAAGCCCTAGTTCTCCTGAGGAATCTGAATCTCCTCCAGAACGCATAAACATAGATCTTATGCACGAACTCCGGGACGTGATATTTCCAAATACACCGCCCGTGGATAGAACGGTAAGTTTGTTTTACGATATAATCAATGAAATATAAATTGGTATATCCCGAATTTACAAACTACTATTTTCTACGATTCACACAAAGAAAATATCTTATATGAAAAATGATAGAAATATCTACGTAAATAATTACCATTGTTTTTTATTTTTGATAATTGGATATACAACTTTCTTCTCTTTCAATTTTTTATTATGAAGAGATTGTTTAGCGTCATAAAAACAAAATTTGCAAATGCTAAATTTGCGAAAATAAATTTTCGTTTATTACCGTCTTAATTGTGCAAACTTCTGTTGCTTTTTGTGAGTCGTCTATCAATGTCCTTACAGGCAGTGCACTTTGTCCCTTCGATGTCTTATATGTTATGGCAAGATAAAGTTCTGTACAGCATGTGCTTGTGAATTTCATCCAGAGATATTAGATGTATGGATAAAAAAATTATCAGTATATAAGAATATTCTGCATGCTCGTACTTGGATCACCCCAATCCATCTAAATTTTCTACAAATCCTATGTACTCCAGCATTCTTGACATATTTTAGCTACTCTAGAGCTACTTAAAAGAAAATAAAACTAACTCCTCACTAAATATTAATAGTTTAACATAATCTTACACTATGCACCATATATCTCTCTGCACCATTAGATGACATTATATTATCTCTAGTTGATAATAGTATTAAATAAGTAGATTAACATGTCATTATGTATGCATGAATCACCATATTAAAAGATAATAATTTTTATTTCTTAATTGATAAAATTTATATTTCATGATTCGTATCAGTTAATTTTTTTTTCTTGTATACGAGGAAAGTAAACATTTGTCGTGCATCAACTTTCAGTTGAAACCAGTACGCAGTTTAGACAGCTTGAGACCTGCATGGAGTGGGCATTTACGGCACGGCCCTCCACCTAGTATTGTCATTACAAATCCATGCGAAGTTTCCTTGAAAAAGCCAATTTTATCTTCCTTTCGTCCTCTTCCTTCGGATAACTCGATTAAACGATCGAATACAACACCTGATACAAGTGCAGCAGCAAAGACATTTCCTTTCAATTCATTAACTACAAAATCAAACAAAACTGTGAAAGAAGTGGACAAAACGTCGCTTCTATCCGTATCATCCACGTCATACGATCAAACCGCTAATCCGAATCGATTTTTGCACGAAGTACATGTACATAATGATTTAACGGAAACTGTTGATAATTCGCAATTGTGTATTTGTGAAAATGAGGATGCTAAACCTGGGGAAAATATTTCTTCAAGAGATGAAAAATTCAATTCCAAAGACATTCTCACAAACACAGACTCTACCACGAGTATATGGGACAACGAGCCTTTTGATAAAACTTTCAAAACATCAAATTTTCTTCACGAAGTTAATGAGAACGACCCTTTTGACACGAGTAAAGTATTCATGCCTACCTATTTGCAAACGCCACTCTTCAAATCTACAATTCCCTCGATACCTGTGCAATTTCATCATCCATTACCACATCCATTCAATACTACATCCTGCTCTGCACATGCTAAGGTAAACATCATCGTTCACTATATCTTTTATGTCTATGAAACAGTCTGATCAATTTTCACGTGATTGTTGGGTTCGTAAAATACAGATAAGTAATACGTACAGAACGTACTTGAAACGTTTCAGATTCACCGAGTCAGCTTTTCAGTCACGGGTTTTAAAAACTAAATTAAAAAAAAATTTGTTAAAATAAATTTAAAACTTAACTTTAATAAATTAAAACAAGTTAAAACTTGTTAAAAAAAATTTGTTAGAAACTAAAAAAAAAAACTCGATATTAATCTAATTAGTTTCACTAGCCAACTGTTTATCGATAAAAAATTTAACTCGGTAAATCTGTCTTTCTGTACAATTTGCTTCTTATTTATCAATTTATTATATTGGTGTCATGTTCATGTCCGCAACTTTTGGCTATGGTAAAAAATTTTATGTAACTTGTGTTTCACGAAAATACAGTATCAAATTGTTAAATAATCATGCGCAAAAGACAGATGCATATGTACATATTTGGAGGGACGCATTCATACATACAATATTGATCATTATAATTCAAAGATTAACATTTTGATGCTGTGAATAAAACTATTTTCTTCTCATATTGCTTCGATTAACCGACTAACATTAAATTATCAGCATTTGTGTGTCTTTTTTGCAGGATTCTCCCGATGTTCCAGATTTAATACGATTAGATCCGACAAATAGCAGTGACGATTTCGACCCACTTTTATCTAAATCTTCCGAATTTACAAACACAAGACAAATGACTCAATCGTTACATTTACCCGAAATGGGTGAAGGTCTCAGTAATCCATTATACCCTTATTTCCAACCATTGCACAAAAGCAATGATAAACCGAAAACCTCCGATAACGCGGGCGACATGGATTTATTACAAGCATATGGTATAGATTTTAATAAATTTAGTTTAGCCAATGGTGATTTGTCTACCAAGAATACTACTACAACGTGTAATCGAAGTGTACCAGACAACAGTATTAGTAATATTGATACGTTAGATACATTCAGTTTAACGCTGAATGCACCTGCCATTAAGTCGCAAAATAATTGGACAAAATTCGAATAAATTTTAGTATAAGTAATACATATCATGATTTGTAAATACATTATTAGTATTGTTTTGTTATACATTCAAATATGATTATCATCGAATATGTGCATTAACGTTTCCTTGTGAAATCGTCTTAGAAATCAGCAGATAATTGTTTTACTTTGCGCACAATCATTTGTCAAAAAAGAAAAAAAAAGGAAGAAATGCTGTTTTGCACTATAAAATTTTATACTCTCTCTCTCTGTATATGCTTTGTATTAAAGATTAATAATATTTGTTGTGTATATTTCGTCAATAGAATACAATGTTTATATTTTTACTACATAACGCTATGTCTGTTTACGTTACTAAGGAACTTATGCAGTGTGAAACTATCATGTTATTACATAAACTTCATTTGGCAGCAGCAGCGTAATAAGAAAGGATTCAAAGAAATAAATTAAAAATTACAGATTCGGATATAATTAAATATTTTAATGCTGGTATATATATACAATTAATATCCAGCTCATAAAGACATACTGTAATTATAGAAATAACAGTACTGTATCGTGTAATACTGTCGCACTTTTAAAATCTTTAAGATACATCTAAAAATCATTTATGTAATTTTACTTTACATTTTTTAGCTTTATCTAAATTCTCATGAAATACTCAATCGAGTATTATTTCATAAACATTTGTAGATACCAAATACTCCATTTAGAAACTTATTAAACTATAATGGAAGCGACTGCTGATAGAGAAGGAACGTAAATTAAGTGAAATGAATATATATACCGTACAATTTTATAGTTTAGATTATTGTTAGATATTGATTATGTCAATTTTAATAACTGTTGCACATTTATCGGCAATGCTTTATAATAAATTAATGCGAAAAAATAATCCTTTTCATTTATAGCATGTTTGTCATATTTATTATCCCGCTATTATATCGTGTCTCGCAATGTATTTTACAGACTGTTGGGAAACTTTGAGCAAGAAAAGGATACAACTTAGTAATAATTGGAAAATTTCTATCTAAATTTCACTTTTCACTGAATATATATTCTATATTAAATGAGTTAATAAATAACTTATTGTGATCTAAAATGGATTTAGAGAGACTTTTCTATAGATATCACTTGGAGCAAGATATAGCCTGTAGAATCTTCATTGCATCAACTATTCGTGTTAATTCACCTTCGCTTCTTGACAATTTTTCCCTGTTATTTTCTCGAACGGGCGGAGGCACTTTTACATCATAATCGGGCATGCTTAATTCTTGTTTCAATTTCTGTATGATTTCATCCAACTGTTCCCTTTTTTTACATAACTTTTCCAATTCTTTTTCAGCATCGATTAAGCCCTGTAAAATACATGAATATATTAAATTCGTATGATTACAATGAGAATATCATTGAGAACATACATAACACACGGTACATCATAATTACCTCAAGTAAGAGGTGCACTTGGATCTTGTCGGTCACGGTGATAATCGCACATCCTGTTGGCGCCTCTTTCATCTTGAGAGTAGAATACGCAAGAGTTTCTATAAGTGATTTATATTGATTAACTTTCTTCTTCAAAGTTGAATCGCGACACACGACAAATGCATCGGTCTTTGTCTTATTAGGTAAATTGTAAGTCGCACGAGCCGATCTAATATTCTTGATTATCTTCTGCGCAAATTCCACGTCTTCTTCAATTTCGTAGTTTCGCCAAGGGCACTAAAGTATATTCAATATGTTATGGATATGCGATCAATATTTTAATAGAACAATTTGTAATAATTACCTCGGCGACGTTTGGATATGGACTAATACATATACTTGGATATATCAGTTTTTTGCGAGGTAAACGTTGATAGAGCTCTTCCGTTATAAACGGCATAAATGGACTCAGTAAACGCAATGCTACATCCATTGTCTTGAACAACACTTTTTGCGCTGCTAACTTTGTCGCATTATTTTCGCTTTGAAATATTGGTTTAAGGTACTCCTAAAAGCATTAATTGTTTACAAGTATACAAACATATATATATATATATATATATATATATTTTTGTAATATACTGTGTACTAAGTTTGTGATACTAACCAAATAAATATCGCATAGTTCATACAACCATAAATTATGACAGGTAGAAGTAGCTAACGCAAAGTCATATTGCGTCAGTGCTTCGTTACAAATTTTCGCTGCGTAACTAATTCTTGATAACATCCATAAATGTACATTTTTCTCATCTAAGTCAGTTAACTGTAACAGAGAAAGAGATAGTAGATGTACATGTAAAGGAAACTTTTGTTTCTTTTCCTAGTAAATTTTTAATAAATGTTTATAATTATGTACTTTTTTACAAACAGAATATTACCTTAAACGTATCTTCAACTTTCCTTTGAATATTCTTCAACATTTCCACTTTCGCAAATTTAGCTCTTTCTACATCTGTGAATGTTTCAATATGGTCGTACCAACGTTTAAGATGCGGATAATTTACAAAATTAATATCTGAATCCTTTAACAACTGATGAACCGAAGGATCAAGTTGTGTTGGTGTGTAACCATCAAGATACGGATGGTCTGCCAAATAATTATTTATTGCCCCTTGAATAGATGGTTGATGCAAATCCCAGTTATGGCATTTGCTGTACCATGCACCTTCCATGTCAATGTTAGTTGAATTATTATTATGTTGTCTCTGATATAAAAAAATTGAAATAAATATTTGATTCTTTGTCACAAAAGCGAATTATTTTAAATATTATTTTAAGCGAATTATTTTAACAAAATGTTCCCATCATAACTTACAGTATCATTCATATCATGTTCATGAGATGTATGATTCGCGTCATACTTAAATTGAGATCCAAAATAAGTAAGCGCGAATTTGGTAGCATTCCAAATCTTGTTGCAAAAGAATCTATATCCTTGTATACGAAGCACGTCAAGATTTATATCTCGCCCTTGAGTAGTATAAGCACAAAGAGTGAATCGCAAAGCATCCGTACCACATTCGGGTATGCCATGCGGATAATCACGCTTCTGACCTTCTTGAGCTCGTTCCAATTCCTTTGGATCTAAATTCGAATCTAATAATTGTTTTTGAAGATCCTGAAAAGGAAAAGGAATGATTTGATACAATGTTACATATTGTGGATCTTAAAAGTGCTAAAACTAATCATGTATACTTCTAATGTTATTCCTTTAATGACATCCATAGGATCTATTACGTTTCCTAAAGATTTACTCATTTTCCTTCCATGTGCATCTCTCACCATAGCATGTAAATACACTTCTCTATAAGACATAAATTGAATTTCAATTAACAAATGATGCATTTCACTTGTTTGTATGATTATATGATAATTATACGATATAATACATAAAATATGTAACACATACCTGAAAGGCAATTGTCCTAATAATTTCTGTCCCATGAAAACCATCCTGGCAACCCAAAAGAAAAGTATGTCATGACCAGTTTCTAATAGCGTACCTGGATAGAACGCTTTTAGTTCTGGAGTCTGAAAAATATATTTTGACATTAAAGCTATGCTATGCATTTCTTTTACTTCTAATTTTATGAAAGTTATTTTTGTTCCTCAGAGAAATGTCCAGTATACTGTATAGTGTACATACTTGGTCTGGCCAACCAAAACTAGAGAACGGGAGAAGAGCAGAAGAAAACCAGGTGTCCAATACATCAGGATCTTGTTCTGCAATTATCTCACTTACATCAACGCCTAATTTTTTAGCCGCTTTCTCTTTGGCTTCGGTCTCAGAATGTGCACTCACCCAAAACGTTTCACCTGTCTACATATGAACGTTTTAGTAATTACGAGCAAATCTACTTAATAAAAAGAAAAAAAATCGATACAATCTTTTTCACATTTCTTATTTGTTAACATTTTTTATTTCTTGAAAATTACCTTGTTTATGCTTATGCGAGAATTAACAAATTTAATCGCATACGCAGGAATGCGATGACCCCACCAGAGCTGACGCGAAATACACCAATCTCTGATACCATCCATCCAGAGGTACCAAGTTTTCTCAAATTGCTGCGGAATAATTTTCAATTCACCCGTTGTTACTGCGTTCTTAGCTTCAGCAGCCATTTCATCACATTTGACATACCTAAACGTACACAGGGACAAAATTAAATTTAAATATATATTTTAAAAAATCGAGATGCAACATGTGCACACACTTTACTCACCATTGTGGTTTTACGAGAGGTTCAACAACATCTTTGGATCGGCTGCACATGGGTATTACCATTGAATGGTCTTTTATGTCAATCAATAAGTTTCTCTTTGTTAATTCTTCAATGATAGCCACTCTAGCTTCAAATCTTTTCAGTCCCTATAACAAGGAATGCATTCAGTTTATATTTTAATATTTATATGATTGAACACACGTTGTTATATAGAAAGTATAATACCGTAAACTTTTCATAATCTCCAACAATACAGCCATCATCATCAAAAATATTTATAAATGGTAAGTTGTGTCTTTTTCCTACTTCATAATCATTAGGATCGTGAGCAGGTGTAATCTTTACAGCACCTGAGAATAGTTGCATTATTCACAATCTAGTTTTGTAATTGCCCTACTTTCAATCCTTTCACTTATCTACAAGGTCATGTATTTACCAGTGCCAAACTCCATGTCAACGAATTCATCCGCTAAAATCGGTATACGTCTATTGCAAAATGGATGTAAAATATATTTTCCGATATAATGCGCATATCTGCTATCCTTTGGATGTACCGCAACAGCAGTATCTCCTAACATTGTTTCAATACGAGTAGTTGCTACTATTATTTTATCATCTGAATCGATGAGCTGATAAGCAAATGATACCAAAACACCAAATTCCACTTTATTCTTATAACCTGGTATCGAAAGTAGAGTTCGACCACTTAATTCCATCTTGTCAACCTGGAAAATATACATCTTTAAGCACAATTTCCCATTAATATCTATAAGTATAAATGTCTGCTAGAATATCATATTAAATATTGAAAATTAAGAAATTTTTAATTTGAATCTACATAATACTTACTTCAATATCCGATATAGCACTTTTTAAAGCACACGACCAGTTAACTAAACGACTGCTACGATAAATGATACCTTCGTCGTGTAAACGCACAAATGCTTCTGTTACAGCTTTACATAATTTAGGATCCATTGTAAAAAAAACGCGGCTCCAATCGCAAGAACCACCAATTTTTCTCAATTGTGAATAAATCCTGTTGCCCTTTCTTGAAAATAATAACAAAATAATGAAATAAATATGTATTTAATATAGATCTATATAAATATAATGAAAAAATAAAAATAAATCCACAGATTTTTTTATTAAATACTTAAAATTATGTTAAAGATATACATGTTTTATCGCGATTGAATAGATTATGCAATATTTCATTTATAATTTCATGCTTACTCATGTTTCCATTGCCATATTCTTTTAATGAATTCTTCTCTTCCAATGTCATGACGAGATTTCTTTTCTTCCTTCCAAAGCTTTTTCTCTACAACCACTTGTGTGGCGATACCTGCATGATCACAACCTGGACTCCACAGTGTTGTAAGACCTCTCATGCGATTCCTAAGTAGATTAAATAGTAACAAAGTAATTAAATAATTTACACTGTATTTAGAAAATTATCATTGCAATTTATATAATTCATACCATCTAACAATAGCATCCTCCACAGCATTAGTTAAAGCATGTCCAAGATGCAAGAAACCAGTCACATTAGGAGGTGGCATTATAATTACTAATTTTCCTTTAGGATTCTCTTCCAATATATCTTTTCCCTATAAGATTTTAATATATAGCTAAGTAAATTCTAATCTTATATTTACAATTGTGTAAACTTCTAAATAGTTTGTTTTCTAAACATTAAAAAATAGCTATTTGCTGTGTCTACTTACTCCATATTCTGGCTTAAAAAAACCTTCCTTTTCCCACCAAGCATACCATGCAGCTTCTACATATTGTGGACTATATGTATCTGGCAATGGACATGTAACATCTTTCTTCTCTCCCAGTGATGTATTCAAAGTATAAACAATTGATGTGGTCTCTTTTTTCTTATCATTTTTCTAAAATATATGTAAAAACAAATTATATTAAATTACATAAAGCTTATAAATAACCAATTATTGTCTCTATAATGATACTATAAAATGAAATCTTAAATATGTATATAATAATCTTTACAGTAGTTAAAAATGTATACATTTATTATTATATATAAATTTTATTAATTATTGCTGCATGTATTAGAGTAACATAGAATGAAGTATAAAAAATTAAACTAATTATAGATCAGTGCAAGTTCTCTCTAATAAACAGAAATAGGCTCCATATGGATGACTGAATAACCAGTAACTCTAATATAGAGCCAGAAAATTTGATATTAATAAATTAGAGAGGATTACATTATTAATTTTATGTGCATTTCTTACTTCTGGTTTTTCCTTTACATTCACCGATTTTTCACTTTCCTTTTTTTCTTGCTTTTGCTTAAATTTTTCTAGCTTTGCCAACTTTTTGGCTTCCTTTTGCAGTTGCTTTGCGGTTTTTTGAGGACCATTCTCGGTGACAATTTCATCGTTTTTCACATCAACCATTTCTTGCGTTAAAAAATTTAATTTGTGTTTTATGTTCAGATAACAAATTAGATTATGAAAGTGATTTCAAAATTGCGAAGCTAACCATGTGTTCTTCTGACAACCGTTCGCCACACTTGCTGCATACACGATGAGGTAAAAGAAGTGAATGCAACCCAGTTTTCTAGTGTGTTCATAAATTTCCGGATGATTGTTTCGTTTGACGTATGCGTATAAGGGGCTACAAAATATATCAATTAAAGGCCGGTATTCATAGTCAAATCTTATATTTAAACTGTCTTAAGTTTATCTTCAGATGATGAACGGATCATTTCATTGGCTATGAAGTATCTGAAGATGAACTTAAGCCAGCCTTAAAAATAAAATCCGACTATGAATATCGGCCAAAGAGTTTTCTGATGAACCATTGAGTTATACTACTTGAAAATCAAAAAGATGGCTAATTTGTCGCAAGATTACACTACGCTTTAATTTTTATGTAGCGCCTCAAGATCGCTGATTGGCTAGATCCTGACGAATAAGAAGACTTCAACTAGTCCTTAGTTCCTAAGTGTTATGGGCCTTCCACACTGGACGCGACGAGCGATATCCAATAGAAGAACTTTCTAATAGAAAATTCAATTCTCCATTGCGCGTCGCGTCCAATGTGGAAGGCCCATTACCACGCATAGCGTACTTCTATATATTTTTATACTTCAAGATTATTACTCTTTCGAATAATAAAGTTACAGTTATGTAAGAAATATACAGCAGCGTAGGTAACATTAGGATAACTTAGCAACATCTATTGTAATAGGCTGTAAGCACAAGGTAGGTTATAGAGTAAGCGGCGCTGTATCGAACATATGGCTCCTGCACAGGACGCGGAAATGCTTGCCGCGCGGCGGAAGTCCGCACGACAGCCAATCAATATATTGTTTTTCCGTAAAAGCTAGAAAGTTATTACGGAAAACAGCATATTGATTGGCTGTCACACGAACTTCCGCTGCGCGACAAGCATTACCGCGTCCTGTAGCAGGAGCCAATAGAAAAACACATGCGTGAGAGAGGATAGAGAGAGAGTCTGTAGAGAGAGTATAAACACAGAGAGAAAAGAGGAAGAGTGAGAATAGAACAAAGGCAGGGCGTAGAATATCGAGGAAAGAGCTTCGGAAGTGGCGTGATACGAGGTATGAGGGCGGACGATAAGACCCGTGAATAGATATACCTCAGCGTCATCTGCAGAGGAAAGCGTCTGAGTCTTTGAGGGAGTCTGAATCCTCTCTAAGTGGTGCGTGTAACGAACTGAGACGAGCAAATCTCGCGTGATCGTTTGTTCCTTCCTGTAGAGAAGAAGACACGTGGCGGTTGAGTCTATTGTATTGAAAGATTGAATGGACTGTTCGGGAGCGCCGAGGGAAGGACAACCAGATCCGCAGCAAACCACTCAGGGACAAATGGCTGCCGCTGCTGATTCTGCTACTCCTTGCACTGTAAACTCGGCTTCGTATCTGGAGGAATGTAAATTAATTCATCAGGAGTTGGCAATCATGCTTCAGGCACGTAGATGCACTTTGCCGGACTACGAAACGATGAATAACTTCTTGGATCACATGATGAATTGCCAGTCTGGTAGAAGTTGCACAGTGCCACGTTGTTACAGGTCCAAGCAGATTGTAAGTCATTGGAAGAGTTGCGTGAAAAACAGTTGTCTAATTTGTTTACCAAACAACCAGCCGAGTAAGAACAGGACTAATCCCGCAGCAGCTCCAGAAGTTGAACAAAGTGATTGTAAGATCACTGTAGATCTCGACCGCCTTTATTTGTCCGATTAAAGAAATATAAAAGGTGAATCACGAGAAATAAAGAAATATATTATACTATAATTAGTTCTTACATTCATTTAACAAAAACCCAACGCACGCTTAATACACTTAAACTAACGATTTCGTTTAATTCTTCGACTTTTAACGACGACCGATTCTCGACTCTTATATGTTACAATACGAAACGATTCATGATTCGCTTCTTTATTTGATCATCTCGACGATTCTCAAAGAACTCTAACGTTTCTCGGCGAGATCCTTCGAGCTTCTTTCCCTGCTCCTGACCCTCTCTCGCTCCTTTATCCTCTCCTCTCTTCGGTGCGCCAGCCGCTCCGCCTCTCTCCTACCTTCGTCGTCTCGATATCAACTTAACCGCACGCTCGACATTATCGCTTCTACATATCAATAGTCGACCAGTACTGGGATTCTGTAA